GTGTGCGGGCCAGCCGGCGACTAGCACCCTGGTGGGGCGGTCCCGGACACCCTGCAGGGTCCTCCTCTGCCCTGGTGTCCACAGACTCCGGTGCTGCCACCATCCTCCACTTCCTGGCATCCCTGAGCACACGTGGCTGTCCGGCTGTGCCCATGCTGACCCCTCCTCCTCGGCTGCCTTCTCCAACCCTTGAAATCCCCCTCAGCTTTGCAGACCCAGTACACATGGCACCTCTCCCATGAAGTCTTGCTTTGTTTACTCCCGACACCCTTAGAGAAATGGGCTTTCCCTTCCCAGGTCCCCAAAGGTCCCAGGAATCTCCCATCTTCTGCCTTCTGTCCTCTGCTGTAATAACCAAGAGCTGTGAACCCTGAAGGGGATGCCTGAGCTTCACACCCCCCTACCCCACTTCCACGCAGGGGAGGCCTAGGCGGCCAGATCCATAGGTGACACTGAGCAGCTCACTGGGAGAGGGCAGGGCAGGAAACTTGGCTGAGCTGCCACCTGATGGGCACCCTGACCCCACACTGCCTGGACTGTGCTTCCCGGTCCTTGCAACAGATGTCAGGAACAGCTCAGTCTCAAATAGTTCCCTCTCCCTCCCGGGTGATGCCCTGCTGGCCGCACTGAGGGCTCAGAGCCAACCCTCACTCAGCCAGAGGTCCACCTTCTCCCTGGGGTGCCCATCATGGAGGCTGAGAACAGGCCCACAGTTGGAGCCAGGTAGTCTGGGGTTTGAATCCTGGCTCTGCCACTACTTACTCTCTAACTTTGGGCCAGCCACTTCCCTCTCTGCGCGTCAGTTTCCTCATCAATAAAACAGAGATACTGGACCTGATTCCTTAGAATGGTTGTGAGAATTGAACCAGACAACTACTGCGGAGGCCAAGAGAGAGCCAGTGGTAGCCCAGAGTCACACAGTAAGAGAGTAGAAAAGATACTAGATTTCTGTCTCCTAGCCCCAGACTCCCCTTATCCCACCCAGCCCCTCTTGGGCCAGGGGCACTGGGCTGGGGCTGGCCGGGGGCCGGCAGGCTGGCCTGTGTGACCTGGCAGCTGGTCTCCGTGACCTCAGGAACAGCAGACCATCGGCTGGCTCAGGCTGGATTGGGCCCCCTTGGTGGTTCCTCTGGCCTGACCAGGCCTCCCCACGGGCCTTATCTGTTCATTCCATCCTTTCCCACCACACTAATCTCTCCCTCTTTTCAGGAGTTCCTGCTTCCTCTCTGCCGCCTTCTTGTCTCTTCCCCAGACCTGTCTCTCCTGCCTCCTCCAGCTGGCCTCCCACACTCAGTTCAGAGCCTCCTCAGAGCGGCTGGAGCTGTCACCACTAGCGAGTCTCTATCTCCCTGAGGCGCTCGGAGCCTGGCAGGGCCCCAGCTGGCACTGCTGCCCCCTCACGCAGGAGGGAGGTGGAGCGCGGCCTGAGTGGGGAATCCGCTGGTGGCAAGAATTCTGACACCGGGTCAGTACCCGGCCTTTCAATTCCTTGAGCTGGTCACTGGCCTGTCCAGGGCTGCAATGTGGTAGCTTGTAGGTTTTTACTGTAAAACTCCCAAGTATCTAGTTGTTGTGGATCTAGGTCTCTGAACGCAGAGAGAGCCTTACTTGTAGTGTTCTGGGGGCCTGGGATCCTCCAGGCCCTGCCCGGGCAGTCAGCCCAGCCGCCTTCTTAGTGTCCTGGCCAGTGGGTGAGGAGGGACCAGCACTAACCCCCAGCCTCTGGTTGTCCAACCCCTGGCCACCTGGAAAGGTGCAGGCCTTTGTCACATGTCCGAGGACTGACGAGCAGCAGATGCACAAGGCCTATTGAGTCAGGGCCCCATCCAGGAAACGATCTTCTGCCTCCCACGCTGCTCATGCCTGACTGGAATGCAGATGAGTGGGAAGGGGCTCAGAGCCCAGCCCCTTCCCAACTTTCTGTGAGATCTGGAGCAAGACACCTCTCCTCTCAGAGTCCCAGCTTTTGCCTGTGTCGAAGGGTGACAATGATACTACCGGCAGCTACTGTGAAGACAATTTGGGAGGACGTGTTTGGAATGTCCTGAAGCAGGTGCACAAGAAATGGTAGTATTTCTATTACTACAATCACCCAGAGAGTCATTCTGGTCCTTGGTCCGGTTTCTCCATTTTCTTTTCTTTTTCTTTTTTTTTTTTTGTGTGTGTCAGAGTCTCACTCTGTCGCCCAGGCTGGAGTGCAGTGGCATGCTCATGGCTACTGCAGCGTCAACCTCCTGGGTTCAGACGATCCTTCTACCTCAGCCTCCCAAGTAGCCTGGACTACAAGCATGCACCACCGTGCCTAGCTAATTATTTTTACTGTTTTTGTAGAGACGAAGTCTTGCCATGTTGCCCAGGCTGGTCTCGAACTCTTGGGCTTGGCAATCTTCTCGCCTCAGCCTCCCAAAGTGTTGAGATTACAGGTGAGCCACCATGCCCGGTTCACTTTCCCATTTGCTTGTCCCAATTAAGAGCCAAGGGACACCTTCAAGTTCAACACTTTTGACGTGTGTTTTGTGCTCAGCCCCGATGAGCTGCCCCCAGATCCCAGGGTCCCATGGGTGCATCGGGCTAGTCCTAGCCCGTAAGGAGACCCCGAACAGGTGGAGGAGACAGGTATAGACACAACACAGACCTCCATAACACCTTGGCTCAGCATAGCATTGGAGAGGAGCACAGAGGCTGTGGGAATCCAGAGCAGGCCCCAGGCCCAGGCTGAGGATGGCCACAGAAGACTTCCTGGAGGAGGGGGCCGTTTACTTGGGCCTTCTGAAGGAGAGAGCATTAGCTGAACACTTGAGAGGATGAGCATGATGCTGCTTTAAAGGTTTGGCCGGGCGTGGTGGCTCATGCCTATAATCCCAGCACTTTGGGAGGCAGGGGTGAGAGGATTATCTGAGCCCATGGGTTCGAGACCAGCCTGGGTAACTTGGCGAGACCTCATCTCTGCAATAAATTTGCAGAGCCACAGCCCTCCAGCTTGGGCGACAGAATTAGACTCCGACAGAAAGAAAAGTGAGAGAGAGAGAGAGAGAGAGAGAGAGAGAGAGAGAGAGAGAGAGGCAGGCAGGGAGGGAAAGAGAGAAAAAGAAAGAAGAAAGAACGAAAGAAAGAGAGAGAAAGAAAGAGGTTCAAAGGGTGGTGGGGAGCCTGGGGAGCACTGGGGAGGGCTTTGTGGAGAGAGCTGTGGAGGCCGTGTGGGTTTGCAGCAGGGAAAACAGCATTCCAGGCAGGGGAGAACGGCAGATGACCCAGGAGAGGCAGGCCGAGCCGCTGGGGAAGGGATTCCTGGGGAGTTTCGGGAATTGCAGTGGGAAGAGTCGCAGGGGACCTGGGGGACAAGCCTTGTGTACCAGGCCAGGGGGCCAGCAACTGGTACTGTGGGCCGGCTGTGGAGGCTGATGGAGGCTGTGGAGCAGGGGAAGCCCTGCCCTGGAGAGAGGACACTCCGGGGCTCATTCTAGGGAGGCCGGCAGGGCCCCCAACCCTCACCCCTGCCAGAGAGGCTCCACCCACTTCCCCCCATCCCTTATCGGCTCTGGGACCACAGGAAAAACCCTGCCTGTCTCTGTTTCCTCATCTGCAAAACAGACCAGAAGACTTATCTTGAGACTCCTTCCAGCTGCGGCTCTGTGGCTCTGGCCACCCCCACTGCAAGTTTTCAGGCAGGGCTTGGCGGGCAGTCACAAAAGCCCTCCAGCTTCCCCGCCCCATGACCGGCACAGCCCCTGAGGGTCCCACCGTGCTGCTGTCCCACCCCAGGAATGCCCGCTCCCCTTGCCGGAGGCCCTGCCCTTACAGGTGGTGCCTTGCCCTCAGAGGGCTCTGGGAGTGGAGAGCCCTCCCCCCGGGTCCCCGTCCCCTGCCCTGCACACGGAAAGTCAGTTCACAGCGTTCTCTTGCAGCCTTTGTCTTGTGAGGTCACCCTCCCGCCAGGGCAAGATGCAGGCGATGAATACTGCTTCTGTTTGGCGGGCAGACGTAGCCCTTCGGTTATCAGCACCGTCCACAGGTGTGAAATGACACCGAAACTCAGAGAGGGACCGTGACGTGCCCGGGGTGATCCCACTCCCCTTGGGACCCTGCCTTCCCGTCCCTCCTGCCTGTCTGGCTGTGGCGTCTCAGTCTCCTTTGGCTCTTTTTCCTCTTGGTCTCCCTGACTCTGAGGAGGGGATGCCCAGGCCCAGGCCTTGGTCCTCCTGGCTTTTCCCTCCCACCCCTTAGTGGTGACGCCCACTGTGAGTCCCAGGTCGGGCCTCTCCCCAGAACTCCAGACTCCAATGTCTGCCTAGCTTCTCAGTATTTCCATTTGGAGCATAAACAGCCTCGCAATCCCCATGTGTCCGAATCCGAACCCCAGCCCTCTCTCCACCCCCATCTCGGTATTCGGCCCCTCCATCCCTGCAAGTGCTGTGGCCAAAACCTTGGCAGTCATCTTCGAGCCTCCCTCCCCTCACAGCCCACAGGCGAAAGGAGAACAAATCTTGTTGGCTCCACCTTCAAAACGGACCTGGAATCCAACCACTTCTCACCAGGGCCACAGCTGCCAGCCTCCAGGCACGAGGCTGGGACTTTCCCAGCTTCTGGCCGTCATCATCACAATGGGGAAACTGAGCTGTCAGGGAGCCTTCCCGGGGTCACAGAAAACCCACCACGGCTGCCCCCCACCTCCCCGAGACCTGTGTCCCCCACTCCCCAGGGTGGGTTTCTCTTGATGGCAGCTTAGCAGGCCTGACAACACGGCCAGGCCATGCCGTGCGCCTGCCTGTGTGTCCCGGCAGAACGAAGATGCTGCCAGCTGGGTTTATGTTTCAAGACGTCTGTCCTCGCCCTTGACCAAGCGATCTTATAGGGAGACCGGAGCCAGGGCAGGATGGAGGGGGGTGCGGGGGGGACTGGGGAAAGTATGGACATCAGTCAAAAGCCGCCTTGCCTGGAAACCCGAGAGTCCTCCCTGCCAGCCCCGGGATCTGCTGAGTTCACTTGAGGAGGCCAGAAACTGCAGGGGCGGGCTGGGGTTTGCTCCACATTTATTTCATACAGCTATTTAAAAAGCTTGTTTTTAAAATATAGATCATTATATATATATATATATTTATATATATAAAATATATAAAAAGGAATTGAGGAGAGCCACCCCAAAGAAAAAGCTATGTTTTATAAATATTTCTGTAGCTCCCACATCCCAAAGGAAGAACAAACAAAAAACAAATCATTTACAACCCAAACTAGTGGTTCCATATGGTTGGCCCAGTAGGCTCAGACCCTGGGGTGGGGCGGTGTCGGGGAGGGTCCGCAGAACATTCTGGTGAGGGGAGGCAGACCCTTTCCCGGAGCCTGGTCTCTCTGGGCCCAGAAAGGTCAAGTCCACACCAGTCTCACCACCCCCATGCCCCTGGCTTTTTAGACCAGACTGTGGGCACTCCAGGGCCCTGGCTGCCGCTGGGGTTATTTTTAATCTCGTCGGTTTCCTTTGATGTCCGGGCCCTCCTTCCAGGGTGGCCAGACCTTCTGTTCCTGGTGGCTTCTAAGGAGGCAAGCCCAAGCCGCCTCCCACGCCTGGCGTCTGGAATTCACAGGCAGAAATCCACGGGTGTCTCAGGCCTGGCCCTGCCTGGCGCGGGGGTCCTCCAGCAGGGTCCGCAGAGCCCGCGCTCCTGCATGGGGCGGAGGCCAGCCTCACTTGCACACGTAGCGCTCCACGGTGCGCTCACACCTGCGGCAGGTGACGTAGCAGCACCAGTGATACTTGCAGTGGCACCGCTCGACCACGCGGTCTGTGTAGGGGTTGTAGCCACGCCCACAGCACATGAGGTCGCAGCTGTCACTGCCATTGGATGTCTTGTTGCACTGTCTGGGGTGGGGGGTGGGGCAGGAGGTCAGTGAGTGCTCTGGTCACCCCCCAACACTTCACGACAGGCTGGCCTGTCCCCGCCAAGCAGCCGGCAGCCGCCCCCATGACCAAAAACTCAGCCCCTTTTGGAAGGTATCTTGATCCTTGGGGCATTTCAGATCATCCTCTAAGGATACTTCTAACTTTTCCCCACGTTTCCAATAAGGTTATCAAATGATGGGGTTGCTTTGTATTCTTGGAGATAACTTATTTATCTTATTTCTGTTTCTTATTATTTTTAGGAGATAGGGTCTCACTCTATCATCTAGGCTGGAGTGCAGGGGTGCCATCATAGCTCATTGTAACCTTGAACTCTTGGGTGGTCCTCTTGCCTCAGCCCAACTAGCCAGAACTACAGATGTACACCACCATACCCAACTATCTAAAAACAATTAATTTTTTTGTAGAGATGGGCTCTCACTATGTTGCCCAGGCTGGTTTCGAACTCCTAGCCTCAAGCAATCCTCCTGCCTCAGCCTCTCAAAGTGCTGGGATGACAGGTGTAAGCCACTGTGCCTGGTTTGTTTTTTCCACTTCTAAATGCTGGGAGGACCCTCAAATCTGTCTAATAATTCTACCTTCACATTTAATCTTTAATTAATTATGACTGATGTAAAGATCGTTTTGACTTTTAGAATCCCAGGATAAATTCTGAGACACTCAGTATGGCCTTAGGGGTGAGGCCCCATGGGCATCTGGCACACTGCCCGTGGATGGAGAGGGGCCTGTCAGCCATGTGACTCCCACAGGTCAGGCATTCCTCCAGGATTCTATCTTAGGGAGGCCTGCAGGACCCTCGGGCCCGTGGAATTATTATTATTTTTTTTTTTGGGTTGGAGTCTCACTCTGTCACCCAGACTGGAGTGCAGTGGCCGCTCCCGGCCACCGCAGCCTCGAATGCTGGGCTCCGGCGATCCTTCCGCCTCAGCCTTCCAAGTAGCCGGAATTATAGGTGCGCACTACCACACCCGACTGACTATTTGATTTATCGTAGAGATGAGGTCTCACTGCCCAGGTGGGTCTCAAACCCGTGGGCTCAGGCCATCCACTCACCTCAGCCTCCCAAAGGTGCGGGATTACAGGCTGAGCCACCGAGCCTGGCTCCGTGGAATTATTAAGCCCGTTATGCAGCTGAAAAGAGGTTCAGCAAAGGGCCGGGGCCTAGACTCAAGGATGCTGAAGCCAAGGCCTACAGTGCATGGAACCCATGGGCCTGGCAGGGGCTGCACTTCTCCCTGAATCACTCCTGTGGAATGGGAAGATATTGAAGGCCCATATAATGCAAATATCCTCTTGAGATCAGTTCTTCAGTCTAGCCACAAAACACCTGTCCAGATTGGCACTTTTTCTAGCTGTGCTGAGGCTGGAGAGGAGGTGTGTTTATGGGATGCAGTGGGGGTAGAGCCGTGGGGCTACTGGGCGGGGACAAAAAGGCCCTGCATCTGAGTGGACAGAGGAATCCCAGAATTCCAGATGGGCAAGCCCCAGAGGTCTAGAGGTCAGAAAGTCGGGAGGAGGCTGGGCAGCAGCCAGAGAGGCCCAGGCTTGAGCTGAAAGGGACCATGGGGTGGGAAGGAGGGTACCCCTGGAGTGAGAGTCAGCAGGTGACCTGCCTGTGTGGGCAAGAGGCAGGAGGCACAGCAGGAAGAACACATGCCCCAGGGTCAGACAGACCTGGGTTCAAACCCCAGCTCTGCCACTCACTGGCCGCGTGACTTAGGCCTCTCTGGGTTTCCTTTTGTGTGAGACATTAAAGAGGTCTCCTCAGTGGTAGGAAGGGGACACAGTCAAAGTCAGGAAGAGGGACTAGGGAGGGTGGGGCCATGGGCCCAGGGCAGGGCCACTGGGATGCCTGGCTCCCAGGGCACAAGTTGGCACAGGCTATGGAAGGGCAAGTTTCAGGGATGCCGGCCTCTGGAAGAAACATGATAAGAGGGCTGGGGTTGGGAACAGGGACTACTGATTAGGTCTCAGTTTCCTGGGGCCTAACCTGAGCAGGGTTGCAAGGTATCATTCCCAGCTAGGGAGCCAACATCTAGAGCCACACCACCTGAGCACAAACTCTGTACATGAGCTCCTGTGAATTGTAGCTCATTTACATCCAGCCCTCTGCATGCCCAATCTCCTAACCTAGTCAGTCTCACACTTCCCTTCCTCCAGGAAGGCTTCCTTGATGCCCAGACTGGGTCAGGACCCCTCTGGGCTCCCCTCACCCTGCCTGGGTTCCCTGCTGTTATAACACAAGCACTAAAGGTCCCCCACACCAGCACTGCCAGAGCCCCAGCTGATCTGGGCCCATGTAATGGCTGCAAGAAGCGCTTGTGTCATAAACTACTGAGAAATTGGAGTTTTTTGTTACTGCGGCAAAAGCTGACCCATACTGATCCCTGCAGGGGCCCACTCCCGAGAAGGACTGATGGCGAAGCACGGCAGGAAACCTGTGGGGTGGGGGACGTGCTAAGGAGACCAGGAGGAGGATGGCACTGTGGGACGGGGCCTCCTGCCCAGGAGTGCGGGGGCAGCTGGGAGAGAGGCCTGGCAGCCTGAGGGCAGATGGATAGGGGAGGCCGCCATGGCCTGGCACAGAAGAGATGCCAGGTAAGTGTCCCTGGAGATCACTCGCCAGCCCTGGGAACAGCATGGATGTCCATTGTGCGGAAGATGGGACTGAGCAGCAGGCCAGTGAAGATATGTGGTCCTGTCCACCCAGCTGGGTCCCGGGCACACACAGAGCAGCCAGATCCCAGGAAACCCTCTTCACGCTGGGGTCCTCAGTGGGCCTCCCCAGCCTCTGTGTTCTAGAATCCTCCTCTGCCTCCCCCCTCAGCTGTCTCAGCCCAGCCTCTCGCTCCTTCCTGTCTCCCTGGCCTGACCTGGTTCCATCTTCACTCGCCCGACCCCCTCAATCTGGCCTCCAGATGCGAGCCTGGGCCTCCTCACCGAGCCTGCTGCCCCTGCCTGCGGGGACGGAGCCCCCCAAGCCACCCCTCCCTCTCCTGGAGACAGGAACGTGGGCTGTGGAGGAAGTCGATGCTGGCTGGGCACCAACTATGTGCCAGACACGTTCTCAGACACCCGCTCTCTGGTTCAATATTCTTTTAACCCCGAGAACACTAGTCTTGTGGAATGCTATTAAGGGCTCCTTAATAAAAGAGTTCCACGGCCAAACACCTCAGGGAAACCCAGGCTTAAACAGATTTTTTGCTGCAGGATGCCTCAGAGCCTTTAATACATTCTTGTGCCTTGTGAATCGCTATAGGGAGTTTCCCAAACATTTCTAGAGGCAGGACTCTCTTTTGATGGTACCTCGGGACTAGCTTTCTCCAGAACTGCCTTTGAGAGGTCACCGGAATCCTCGTGGGCCCACCCAGCACACAGTAGGGCCTCAGGCGCCACCCGCTCCCTCCCTCTCCCCTGTTTTGAGCTGGCTGTGGCGGCCATGACTGGGCCAGCTGGGATCCCCAGGAGGAGACCAGAGGAGCCAGGGCTGGGAGGAGGGCTCACGGGGCTCAGGGGACACAGGAGCACTACGTGCACACTTCCGGTGTGGCCATGGGCTGGGGGCCGCCCCCAACCCCTGTGCCTCTCAGTCCCTCTCTGTCCAATGAGCAGTCTGTATGACCATTCCCAGTCACTTATTCATTTGACACACATTTTCTGGGCGCCTAGCTTATGCTGGGCAGCCCATTTCCTACCCGGTCTCTCAATATAGTCACGTTTCTTCCCCTCTGTCTCCCGCCCCAGGGAGAAGGTGGACGGGCCTCCTGCGGGG